CTCCATTCCATCATTGAGCGAACATGTTTCCAATTGTTAGCAAATTTTTCAGAGTTTATCTGATTCATTGCCTGTTCAAACAATGCCCAATTTGACTCAACATATAAACGGGCTTATTCTTCTGGATCTTCACTAATATCGATATTATTATTAGGCATGTTATCGACAGTAGTTTCAGTTTCAAGAGGTATAGCAGACAAGGTACTAGTTGTGGCATCATCATTTTCATAATTTTTTAAGACAAGAAATGGAGGTGTGGTGCGACGTTTAAAATTATCTCGTATTAATTGTCGTCGCTGACCATTGGGCATAATGGCAACTTGCTGAACTAAATGCTTGCATAATAAAAAATGACTTCCAAGGAAAGCTGGGCAGCTGCAAACCTAACAATCAATATCAGTGAAATATGAACTTTCCAGGTTAGTTGTTTGTTCATTAACACTTCGTTTTCTTTTGCCTTTGACATGTCTATTAGCATTTTGGTCACCTTTTGTACTAGCAGCATTCCATGTTTTTTTAAAATCATCCCACCACCATGGTACTACAATACCATTCACAATCTGCGAAAGTCATTCCTTCTGTGACGGTATTATTTCATTCATAAGTGTCCAAAGTAATAAATCAAGTCTAGGATGACTAAACCGGTGTAAATAATATCGTTTGATGACACTCCAATGGGCTTCGATCTTCATTGTCAGTTTGCCGAAAGGTATAGTGGGTCTAACAGATCGTGCCCACAGGTGCTATCGATCCGGCGAATACCAGTTGCTCCAAAGGTATGTCCATAGTAATTTTAATGAATTTTTGGTACAGAATTGATATATTTCTCTTACCGCATTTCGTCTGATATCTGTTGATGTTAAGGTGGTTCCTTGTGCATCAACAGGTATCAGAGGGTGCATATTAAAATGTTTACTCATAATCATTTAAACTGTCGCTTGATATTCTAATAGGCAAATAATATATTTTTGAAGGTTACAATCATCCTTTGTTGGGTAAAATGCCGGATCAATGAAATCAAACTCGTTTGTTGCTTGTATAACATTATAAGTTATATATAATTGTGCCCCATGTTTTTCATTATTTGACGACTTGGCTTTTTCTCTAAGTTTAAGCTTCACTGCCCGATTTATATGCCAAGCGCATAATTGGACTACCGATGGCCCCCACACATTACTTGCAGCATTAATTTCTGCAAAATTTTTATCCATAAACACAAAGCCTGGCGTTACGTCATGTGATTTTATAGTTTCCAAGAAGCGCTCTAGAATGTTACGACGCTTTCCTGTACTGGTATTTGTATCCACTGCTTTTATTGTGTCAAGGATTAAGTATGCGATTGGGAAGCCAGTACCTTCTACATCAGCAATGACACCATAGAGTTCATAACGCCCTCTTGCCGTCTTGTAAGTCGTATCAAGATAGATCTCATCAATACTTATATTAAGATTTTTAATGTCTTCTAGCAGAGGCGTAATAAAACCAATGGCTGTAGTATCTGAATCTTTTATTTCTAAGCACCATTGGAAACCACGGCTTTCATGCTCACTTAGCAGTTTGCATGCAGATTCGATATGATTGTCATACCATTGAAATAGTTTTTGGTTTGCTATGGATTTCCAATAATAGATGCGCTTAGATGAATACTTTGAGATGTCAAAGCCTTGAAGTCGAAGATGATTTTTTAATTCTATTGCAGTAAGGTGTGAATGCATTTTAATCTCTTCCAGCAATTCATCGGGCATTTCAACACATAAATCTGGACGTGGGTGAAGAGAACCATGATAGATATCCACTTCTACAGCATTAAGAACTAAGTCGACTTGAATGGTAATTCTACCCTTACAATCATAGCGTGTTCGTTGCTTTCTATTAGAATCTTTATAACTTTCTGATTGGGCTTCGTTTGACTGACAACAAAAATAATAGAACCATCCAACAGTATCTCTGAATTTTCTTGACATTTCTGCATTATGAAAGCTACAAGAATATTATCTAATTAATAACATTACAATCAGATTTTTTTTTTTTAAATAATATAGTACTTACTTCTACGAATAATCATTGCCGCCTTCGATTTCAACAATTATGAGATTGGCTATTTCCTTTGCTGTTTTGTCAAGGAACATAACACTATCTAGATTTATTATCAGATGAGTCTGAAAAATAATATCTGCTACTCCCTCGGCTTGTGCACCAATAGTAAACTCTTGAATTTCCTGTTCGATTAAGTCCCCCAAATCAAGATAGTCAATTTCAATATGATTTTTATGTTGTACTGACTCAGAACTTTCAACCACGATTGTGGCATGGGTGATATCTTCTTCAGGCAAGATTTTAGAACTATCTTGTTGGATCAATTCACAATCATCTAATGAATCTGCATCTTGTAACTTGTCTTCTTTCTTTCGATCTCTATTTTCTTTACACCTTTTACATGTCTTATGACGTTTGCCCTTCCATACAAATTGGTCACAGGGGCGATTACATTTACAATCGGTACAGAACTCCATATTTTAAGATTTTATTAACTAAAGTGTTTTGATGTTTATAATTTTGATTTCGCAAGTAATAATCAATATTACTGGGAATAATTTAGTGATATTTTTACAACCTTTGAAGGCGCAATATTGAAATAGCTATGTTAAGTTTAATGAGAATACAGCTGAAAGATTTTTTGGATCTATATTATGATAATGCTGATAATTTGGTTTAGAGAAGGAGGAACTATTCGATTAAAGCGTCGAGATG